ATCGAACATCGATATTTTTTAAAATTTTATTGGAGCAAGGACGTGGCTCTAACTTTTTATTTTCGTTTAACAAACTAATATCGTATTCGAATTTTAGTTTTAAGAATATTCTTATTTTTATCGATTTGTTTTAAGTTGCTCCTATTTCTTTTATTTATATTAACGTTAAGATAACTAGAATTAACAGTTTTGGATGGTACGAAATATTTTTTTGTACCGCCTGTACTGCACGTTTTTCTCATTTTATGTATTAGCAATAGTTCAAATTAGTTGTTAGTTTTTATTTTAAACGCAATAAGAATTTTATCATTTATTCACACATTGAACCCGGTTATCGTTCATTATAATTCAGAATTAAACATGAATTCACTTTTAAAAAATCGAAAACGATTATTATCGAACGATATGACGATTTTTACTGTTATCTTTGTTCAACGGAACGACGTATTTTTTTAAAGTCTCAACGAACATTGCACTCGTCCTCGTCGAGGGTCATTTTTTTAATAATGAAATCTCAAATTAAAAAAAAGTGTGCGATTATAAATTACATCTGGCGCGACTAATAATCCAATAATTCATCGCATTCATCGCAAATACGATTCTCGTACAACATCAGAAACAACGAAAATCATGATTTTACTTAACAATAACTTTTACAGAGGAGCAAGATGAGAAAGAATGAAACGAAAGGAGTGACGTAACGACGAAAATGCAAAATTCAGAACGAAAGGAGGTACTCGTCGAAATGCGTATGAAATAAATTTATTCTCGAGTACGATAACGATATAGATCGATTATTCCAATGATTGAACGATTCGATCGACTATTCTAAAGATAATTATTATTCGAAACAATGCGCAAAAAAGAAAAAAAAAAAAAAAAAAAAAAATCGAATCATATTAAAGACGAACATGTGTGGTAGCACTGCATCGTAGAGAAGCGCGCACTATTGCTTTCCGTGTTCATAAAGAGGGACGAGTACGACTGGTAGGTGCAGAACACAAAGGAGTCAAGTTTGTAGAAAGAGGATTACGTATATTATTACTACGATGGGATAAATAACAAGCGCATGATGATCTTTTTATAAATTTGAATCCGTCCTCCCGCGCCTACTAAGTTTTCGTAAATCATGAGTAAATCGTTGAGCCTCGTCGATTAGCTTGTAGCATTCTTATCGAATTCGACGAGTTGACTATATTACTCGCGATAAATCAATGCTCGAACAATACGACAAGTTACACGGTTATGAATCCAAATATTTCGCTAACACGAGTGTATAGAGAGAGAGAGAGAGACAGACAGACAGAGAGTTATGAAAACGAGATAACAAAGGTAGGTATCGATAAAATTAGACATTGATCGAAGTGTCTTCGATGATGATCGGTTCGTTCGTTATCCACGGACACTTTTTCGAAGTGCTGGAATGCAAGAAAAAGAAAAAAGAAAAGAAAAGAAAAGCCTAAAAGCAATCGGTCGCGACGAGCGACTGTCCGTGTTCTTTTGGTAAAAAGAAAAATTCTCGCAGGCCTGCACGTATGATATGTGCTTCGCGTTAAAAAAGAACAGGGAATCTATTCGGGGATATTCGCGCGATATTTCAACATCCTCGAACGATTGAATTCCATGGAACAATAACGTTTCCTTGCCCGGCAATGGAACGTTTCGTTTGTTTGCGCTCGCGCACCGTTCGCACCCTTTCCTAGTTTCAAGCGTTTAGAAAATAATTAGAAGGGAGGATATGTGTATGTATGCGAGTGTGCGTGTACGTGGAACAGAGAAAAAGGGAAACGAATATGTGAGGGTCTGAGTGATGTACACATAGGAACACGAGGATATATAGATAATCGTTCAAGAAAAAAAAAAGAAAAAATTAAAAAAAAAAGGAATAAAGAATTCAAAAAATTAAAAAAAAAAAAAAAAAAGGAGTATCTGGTTCGGTACCTTAATACGGT